GGGAAAGAGGTGATATTATAACATTACTGATCAGTGTCTTTGAACATATTATAGACAAACTGCACTGTGAACTTTATTAGTTGGCACTGATCAGCACTGTTGCTTTGATCATATACAGATAACACTAGCTTAAAGAACTTCTTCTTAATGAGGTGCCCTATCCAGTGTTGTACCAACTATACTGAAGTCCTTGATAAAGTATCAACTTCCAACTAGTCCAAACATTTGAAAACAGAACCACTTTTCCTCGTGTAGGTCACAGAGACCTTGTGATGGTCACAGGGACATATTTGATGTCTTTCAGGTTTAACTTGGAACTAAATCTTTTCTTCACTCTTACAGCACAGTACAAAATAAAATTCAGTGACTCTACAATCCAGAATTTTCGTAAGCATAGGAAAATCTTTGTACCCTATCACTTCGTCCTTCGATTCTCTACTTGTAAATGGGAACAAGAAGCAAGCTGTTTGGCAACAATCAGTGTGAAAGGAGTGGCCACAATAACTGTGGCTTTTTAATTCAGCATAACACATGTGGACCTTATTTATGACTGTGAGTGTTCTCAACTTGGGCAAGACTGAAGAACAGTATTTGTTGTGGCTAGCATCTTCCCATGACAGAGCACAGAAGGTAGGCTGAGCACAAGCTCCCATCCTTTGGGGAGCGGGAGTCTGCATCTGCTGAGAAAAATGCTGGATGGGCTGTGGGAGTTAATTCAGATAGAGAAACAGAGGTACTACAGGATGAATAGTAATTCCATTTTCTTCAGATAAATGGTGATTTTAAGCATGACTGGAAAGCACTTAAATAGGTGCGAATAAAGACAGTGACTATAAACAGTATCAGAAGTGTTATCTAAAAAGATAAAAATAAATACTGATCTCTCCAAACTGGGATCTGATCTAGTTCCTTTAAGCAGATTCTGGTTTAATGTCCTTCTTCTATCTGACACAAAAGCAGGAAATGCTTCATCCCAAGTCATGTGCTATTCCCTATATGGACAGGATGGGATCTTGCATGAAAACCAGCAAGAAATTAGCCAGAAGTCCTGCATCCCAGCTATCAGCATAGACATCCAGCTACAGCTAGTCTCAGGCTGCTATTGACCTTTCTCCATCCACATTCATTCAGCGTTGTGTTGAGTGAAGCCACTACGAGTTTTAAGGAAAAAATAACTGTCCAAGGAAAAAAGTGCAGCATAAGGCTCCTTGCTGAATCGATGCTAGATTTCTTTTTTCCTTAGAAATTTCTTGTCATTTCTACCAACAGTGAATCCCTAGTATAAGAAACTGTTATTGATAAGCTCAAACATGGAGTAAATTATCAATGTTTTGTTCAGCGGGCTGCCTATCAAGAAGACCTGTAGGTTAAAATACTGACTAAACCTTGCCACCTCATCCACATTATTAAACGTCCTGCTATTATAAAAGAAAGTTCACTAGTGCTGACAATGATGAAAAGCATCAAAAAAAAAAGGCTGTTGGTACAATCACTGAATTAACATGCCATACACCAAGTTCTCAAGAGAAGACTCACTTTGTAGCAATCATTTGCAATGAGCTGCAATAGGCTAAAGGAATCTCCTGAGGTCTCCATCTTCAGATAGAGCTTCCAGGCCAACTGGGGTTTCTTATTCACAATATCTGCAATAACAGGAAAAAGCTGGGATTGTGAAAAGAATATGCCCCACACAGTACTGAATGTTGGGTAGAATAAATGTTCCTAAATTTCTTTACTTAATGTAAATGCATGCCTTGCCCTGTGAGCATGACTTTGGGAAGGGAAACTTGTCCTTATCTTCTGCCTTACTAGAAATAGCAGCCAATTCATCAGAGAATAGCAATGTAAAGAGGAATAATTATAGCATTTACATCTCAGTTTGTATTTCATTAATACAGCAATAAGCACAACTCTCATGATTTAAGATGTGATTAATGAACAGAATGGAAAGCACTAGAGAAAGTATTTTATGCAGGACAATGAACTGTAGAAATCCATTTAGACGGTGAGGTTTAGGATTACGTACTCTTACACATGGAAAAATTGTAATTGGCACCAAACTGAGGTCTTTAATACTTGGTGCCCACCTCAATCTAAACATTCAATTCTGATGGTTCATAACAAACCAAAAAGGGGTGTGTGTTTGTGAGTACGAAGCCCCTCCAAATGTAACAAAATCTGTCATTATACATCTACTAGGAAAAATGTTTCCAAATTCCTGAGATTTTGTGCTGGTTTTAAATTTGTCCATATGACTAGAATTTTTCATTGGCCTTTAAAGTTAAACATCACAGCTATACACAAACAGAAATAGAAGAATCTGAATCTTCCATCTCAGGTAGTGGAAATTCTACTAGGGTGTTTGAACACAAGAAGTGCTAAAATTTGATTTTCTGGAGATAAGAACCCATTCTGTTGGTACTGGTAATTCCAGACTCATTCAAGTACTGGGAGAAAAGAAAATGAAATTAAGTATTCCTTTTTTTTTCCAAGTCTCACCAGCTACTCAAAGAGTAGCTGGCTGGTCACACATGGATCACTCATGCTCTTTCAAAAGAGGGACAGTTTAGCTTATTATATTTATGACCACTGTTCTAATGCATATGTTGCAGGTAGAATGGGTGGCAATCATCAACAATAAACATGTATTACCAAATCACAGGATTTATAGACACTTTCATTTAGAAGAGAGTAAGAAAGACATCAAATCAGGTTTTTCTCTATCAGTTCCAGATATCATACATAGTGGCAAACAGCCAGGTCTTAATCTCCAAATACCAACCCATCTGTCTAGAGAAACTGAGTACTGTGCTAATTCAGTGGTTTTTTACATTCTCAAGGCGAATTTGGTATAAATAGTACAGTTATGTCTGGCATCCAAAAAAAATGCATCTCTGGTACTTTTTGCCCTTTAGAAATATTTCAGCATTGAATTGTTTACGACTCAATACCTAATCATATTCTGACATGAATGATGCTTTACATACATTACGATGCTTTGTAATTTCTACAGCAGCTTTTATCCAGAAGGATCTAATAGTGATTTATATACTTGCCACAAAAAGATAACTATATTCATCACTGAGCAGTTGCTTCTGCAAAGAATTCTAGCAGCTAGAATTCTAGCACAGAATGAAAACCCAAATTTTAAGACAGACACAGAAGATTACAGCAGCTCTACTGAAACTTCAGCAGAAATTCAGAATGGCAAAAGGCACACTCAAGAATAAACAATACCTCCTATGAAAGAGCTAGAAAAGTTTTAATTGATCACATGGTGTTAATTCCACTCATACAGTAAGTAGCACCTTTGAAAGAGTTCTGCATCCCCAGATGTGTGTCAAAGAACTACTATAGCAAAGAATCACAGGGATGAACACCATCTACTGAACAACCAATTCACTTTCCAATGGGAGTTCTCCCATCAAAAAATGCACATAAAACATTCACATATAAAGCACTCAAACACACCCAGGTACCACAGCTTAATGAAAAAGGAAATAAACTGGCATGTCCTAAAATGGAGTCATAGATAGGCACCCATGGCTGTGATGTGCCTGCCTGAGAGATCATGTTAGAGATGTTTACCACATCTGCGATATGGCATAATGTCCCAAAACATGCATATTTACATTCCAAGTACAACTACTGAAAATGGTTTGATAAGAGAACAATTTTGTATTGAGGCACTGTAAGGAAAACAAATTAACCTCGGGAGTCTTAGACTTGACTAATTTAACAAGCCCACTTCTATACTGTTTTACCCGTGGCACTATAGCTGTATCTGTACTGAGGTGTACTCTGCAACAGTTTAAAAACTGGTACAAAAAACCTAAATATAATTTGCTACAGGATATTAAACATAGCAGAAGTTTTCTGGGTTCAAGAGAAGAATGGGAAAGTTTTTGGAAGAAAAAACATGCTGAGATTATAAAGGACATCCCTTGGGCACAAGAGTTTGGAGAATATGAAGAGTAATGTGGTAGGAAGAAAAATACTGGGTAAGTTTGCCTGATTCTTCTCTTCCCTAGACATCTGAGCCTGGCTCTTCTGGAGGTAGATAAACCGCTGGGCCTGAGCCAGTATGGATGCTTCTATTTTGTGTTTTAGTCTGAACACTTCAAAAGTTGCAACTCAGTCTTTTAAGACAAAAAAATCTTCACTCAAGCGTCTGAGTAGACAACTGAGAAGAAAAAGGGTCACTGGTTAGGACAAAGCTGCATTGATGGAGCTATAACAGCACTGCACTGAAGCAGTAACTGCTTACTAAAGCTAGATGTATGAAAGGTGCAATAACCACCCACACTGTAACTAGCGCAATCAGCTTTTCACTTTCATAGTCCTGAATCCACCTACAACATTAAACTCAATTAGGAAAGTGGATTGCCAAGACTGATGCAATAGAGGAGGATCTGAATTCTGCAATGTTGGGAGTAAAGTGACTCACAGCAGCGAGCTAGCCAGCTAAGGTAAACAAAATCACGCTTTATCTTCTCACTCTGGATCAAAAGGAACACCTGCAGGAAGAAGGAAAAGAGAAGATTATCCATGCACGTACTTTTCAACACACAGAAGGCAGACCTGCCTCCTTTCAACACGCAGCTACGGCTGAAGTCACGTGAACGACTGCTCCATGAGGAGAGACGGGGTATGCAAGTGCAGCGTGGGGGTACCTCTCTGCGTGGAGTAGGTGGAGGATTCAAACAAGGCCATGCTGATCAAGGGACTTCCGCAGCTTCGAAACGGCAAGCTGTGAGGAGGGCGCAGCCTACTCTGAACAAGTGCCAGTGGGCGGCCATGCAACACAGCACAAAGGAACACTGGGCTTGTGGGAAAAGCTGTTTGGAATGTGTTTGTTTAGAAAGCAGTACAAGCAATTACATTAGCATCTTCTGGAAATACCAGAAGTTTCACATATATATGAGCCTTTCCTCCCCATACATGTCAGAGAGAATTCCAGGTCAGCAGTAAACCATTTCTGACCATTTTGGTTTCAGTGAGGTTCTGAGGCAAAACATTTGTCTTTTGTAACTTTACAAATACAGGTTTATTACATTCTACATCTAAAGGGATGTGTGTGGAAAAGTTATACATTTAACAATGTACTCTGGCTTTTCTCACAGAAAGAAGCTATTTATACCCCTCTGCAGGTATATTTGTAACTATATTAGGATGCTACTGGCAAAACTCAAAATACCTTTATAGGATATATGTGCTGGAACAGTGAGTTCCACAAATTACCGACATTTTTATTGGTTAAACATTGCTGATCCCCCAATTTGGGGAGGGGTGTGGGTATGAGGGGGAGGTGGTGGTGAAGGGAGGGGAAGGGATAAGAGGGAAGAAATTAAAGGAAAGAAGCATTGTCACTGTAAGTAGCACTTTATCATAGGTTTCATGTGATTACTTCCAGGGAGGTAAGCTTTTAAATAACTTAAGTGCTATATGTGGAGGTATTTTACAAGTATATGAGACACTGGAGAAGGGTGATCTTTATATGAAAGTGTCATCACAATCAAACATCAGTCATTAGGCCAGACTAATCAATGTAATTACATAATTCTGTTATTTAAATGCATCAGCTATAAACCCGAGTTTATACAGAATCATTTGTAAGAAGGTAAGAGGAAAAATGTGGATTAACAGCAGTTTCCAGCTTTGTGTTTCTTTGTTGCCTGGCTGCAGCTAAAGCTTACTTACAGCATTATCATTTTTATGAAGTCTCAGGAATCACTGCAGCCTGGTAGCATAGTTTGGAAAGATAGTCACCTACATTTTCATTAAGCTAACTAAATTAAGGGAGGTGAATTGAAATGTATATCCATTTTGCCTGACTGTCTTGGATATTTTTCTTAAAGACAGATGCAATTTCAGGTTACAGAAATTAAGGGTGTGGGTGCGGGGAAGGAGAAAGGGGAAGAGAGAAAAAACCCAGGGTCCATTATTGAGAAACGCGAAGAGTTAAAAAGTTAGGAAGACAGGAAAAACAAACAAACCAAACCAACCCAACGATAGAAACCCAAACCCCAAACCAAACAAACCCCCCCCTGTATGATTCACTTTTGACTACATGATTGTTTTGTTGGGGTTTTTTTCTGGCTTGTCTTTTTTCTGGTCTTGCGAAAAATGTTGCTTCCATCTTCATAATAGCTATTTGCTTTTGCATATTTTAGTTGTAATTAAGTTTCTAGTGCACATAGGCACAAAAAATGCTGTGTGTAGAAGTTAATCTCTTCCAGCTGCGTCTGGATGCTGCTGAATAAGATAGTGAGCACTTCCTCATTTCCTCCCAAATCTCCCACAGGAAGAAATTTATTTATTTATTTGACATTATTTTCTAGGGACACCTAGAAGCTCATAGCTATTTGATGTCTTTTACTCAGCATGCCCTAGTCAGCCTGAACAATAAGACTGCCTGGGATCCCAGACGAAGCGTAGGAAATCTGATTAAGAGGGCATTCTTTGATCAATTAGAGATAGTTGCAAGCGCTCTTGCGATGCACCACAAGCAGCATGGCTTCCTGTATAGCTCACATTACAAGATTAGGAAGATAATCTTTTCTGAATGGTGTTCACTGAGAATTTCACTTCATCTAAAAAGGGGAAGATGATATTCCACACAACCTGCTTATTTTCAACCAACATGAAGATCTAGAGGGAAAAAATTAAGGAAAAAGGAAAGTACGTGGGAAATCTTTCCACTGTTTTTTAAAGAAAATAAATGCATACCTCTTCAGCCTCACTAAAACATCCTGTGGCAGCTTTGGCTTGGGCGTAGTTGAAGTTAAAAGTGTCATCATTGTAGAAGTAACTCTGGAAAATAAGCCACACAGACAAACCCCAAATAAATAAGACAAACCCCCTCTTCCCCTGGTATAACAACATTAAAAATACCCCCACTCTCCAATCTGAGTTAGACTATAACAAGACAATGGGAAGGAAAAAGAAAAACCCACATTATGAACATACGACATTCATAAACAGTGGGTAGAAAATTATGGACTGGCTTTCCATCCTACATTCGTGACTACAAACACAGCTGGAACATTCCACAGTATTAACCATGAGACGTCTGGGGAATGCTCCAAGATCAAAATTGCAGTGGCAGCTTTGTGGGTATAATTTTCACTTTAGGCATGCGAAGACACGCTGTGCTGCCATGGTGTCTTTCACCTCCCAAGCACTTATTTCACCACTAGGGTGGTAAATAAGTAGTTGACTCCCTAAAGGCTTAAGGAGATGAACAGTTTGTTTTTCCAAGACTTCTCAAGGTGCAACAAGAGATCCTGTGGATCTGGTTGTGTGACACGTCTTACACACTGGATCCATGATGGAGGTGGGGCTGCAGTAGCGGCTGTAGGCAGGCAGCACACCTGCTTCGTGTGTAATAGGTGTGATGGGACTTCCCTGAGCTCAGGCTTTGCTTACATACACTCTATATGATGTGCAACACCAGTTTTTTCTCTCCCATTAATATTAGACTGGACAGACCTGATTAATGACAAGTCAGGCTGATCTGTATCTTTTCTGAAAAGCTGTATGTGCCAGAACAAGAAATATAACTTTAGGTATAACTTAGCCTGATACTTGGGTTTGACCCAAATAGCTTAGATTTGATCATGGTCATATGTCCAGATTGTCCAGATGACCAGAAACTGACTGTGTTCTACATTCAGCACTGTCCTACACTGCTGCACTTGTTAGACCAAGGTGGAACACAATACCACAACTACAAGCGCAGATGGAATTGAGGATCCCTGCTGAGCAGAGGTGCAGCGCTTATGAAAGAGCATGGGAAAAAAGCAGGGTGGTTTATGCAGTATAATTGCTGTAACAAAAGCCTTCCTGGGTGCATAACAGCAAGGTGTGTGGAAGAATCACAGAATCAACTAGGTTGGAAAAAACCTTTAAGATCATCAGTCCAACTGTTACCGCAGAATTGCCAAGTCCCGCAAAGAATGGGCCCTAAACCATGTCACTAAGGGCCTTGTCTACATGTTTTTTTGAACACTTCCCGGGACACCGATTCCACTACTTCCCTGGGCTGTTCCAATGCCACATCACCTTTTTGGTGAAGAAATTTTTCCTAATATCCAGTCTAAACTTCATAGGATATTAGGCACAGCTTGAGGTTGTTCCCTCTTGTCCTATCACTTGCTACCTGGGAGAAGAGACCTGCCATCTCTTTGCTACGTCCTCCTTGCAGGTAGTTGTAGAGAGCAGTAAGGTCCCCCCAAGCCTTCTGTTCTACAGACTAAACAACCCCAGTTCCCTCAGCTGTTCCTCAAAAGACTTATTCTCCAGACCCCTCACCAGTGTTGCTGCCCTCTTCTGGACCCACTCCAGCAAAAAGAAATGTTTTTCCTTATATAGCATCTATAAAACAAACAGAACTTGTGTAGGAAGATAAAACTTCTGTTTTGTTCCCTCATTAAGAGTGAGGAGGAGGTAAAAGGCATAGTTAGGACTGTACAAAAGATATGGGAAGCAAGGGATAAAACCCTTTCCCAGAGCTCTCTATCTTCTTTCATGATGTAGGGACACTTGAGGAACTTCTTCTGTTCCCTGTCACAGGCAGATAACAAAGGGTATTGATCCCAACCACCCAAATACATCAAGCTAGTGCCTTGATAGGACATGTGGGGGGTTGCCACCTTTTCTCAGATGTCTACGTTAGGGTCCAAATATAGCAAGCTATAGCAAATATAGCAAGCTATGTGAAAGGATGAGGATGAACCAATCAGGTGAATCTTAAGCTCAGTTTGTGAAAACATTTAAGTACCCTTAGGGGGAACTAATGGATTTTACCATATGAGAACTACAACAAGATATTGTATTCTTCCTCAATGACAGTTTCATGTGAATCAGCACAAGTGCCAGGTTAAGCAAAGCTGGTGAGCATAACGCTAGTTTTACTGCATGAATAGTTTCTTCTTTTATTGCAAGAATAGTTTCATGGGGGAATGGCTTTAAATTCAAAGAGCGGAGATTTAGATTAGATATTAGGAAAAATTCTTCACTGTGGGAGTAGTCAGACACTGGAACGGGTTTGCCCAGAGAACCTGTGGTTGCTCCATCCCTGGAAGTGTTCCAAGGCCAAGTTGGGTGAGACCTTGAGCAACCTGGTCTAGTGGAAGATATCCCTGCCCACGGCAGCAGGGTTGGAACTAGATGATCTTTAAGGTCCCTTCCCACCCAACCCATTATATTATTCTATGATTCTTCTGTTCAAACATCCCCCATGTATTTTTTAATTAAAATGGAAAAGTAATTCTGTCAGCAACTGAATTCAAAAGCTATGTCATTTTATCCTAACTGTATTATTGCTAGAGACCAGACCTGCTGCAAAACCCAAAACCAGTAGAAATGAACTAGTGCTGCTGATAGTCCAACACATTCACAGCAACTAGACATTTTGGTTTGTTTTTCAAACTACATTACATGTACTGGTCTTCACTCTTTTGAGGTCTTTTTACTGGTCTTCAATCTTATCACAAAACTAACTGTGCTCTGAGTGATGTCCATTTCAATGAGATGCTCAGATACACAGTTGAACAGTGAAGCATTCGTTGTGGCTAGAACTCAGCTGAGCCTGAATTAGCTTGTCTTCTCAGTTGGTCCTCAGTGTTATTATGTCACCCTCAGGGCAGCTGGCAATACATTTATAATAAGGTATCCTCTGGGACATTCTCATGCCTAAAGCAGTTTTAATCAATCATGAATGAAGGTGCTGTTTCCTGAGAGAATATAATGCAAACAGTCTTCACAAGTCCACAGCTCCACTTAAACAGTTTATTCATGTGAATGAAGCACAACAGTCACTGTAAAGCCACCTAAACCTTGCCTGTAAGATGGTACAGGAAGAACTGTTTGCATCCCTGGGACCTCAAGAGAAAGGGAATGACCTAAGTAAGTCTGAGCAGTGGCTAGTCTCAGCTAAAAAATTCTGAGAATGATGAACTACTTCAAAAGGACCATGCAAGGAAAGTGGTAGTAGGCAGAAGACTTTTGTCCTTAGTCCTTGCTATTTATCAACTGCATTATGTCTCAAATTACCAGTATTTATGATTCCCTTCAAGAATTTAACAAATAAGTATTTTACTTCAGCTTAATTGTATTGCAACTTGCTAGATACAATCTATAAAACCATCCAAAATTGCACCCTCAACCCTGCTTTGAACTATGACAATGAGTTCCATAAACCAGCTGTGTTCTGAGAGGGACAAAATGCATTTGCTTGGAAAAGACATTGTGAGTTTGCTGTAATTCCAACAAGCTGTATCTTGTTTTCAGCCTCTCCTAATACAAATGGAGGTTTCAAATACACCTTGTTTATTCTAATTCTCATTTTGTATAATTTTATTTTCTTAACTTCCCTCTATAGCAAATAATATCTATCTTCTATATCTCTTAAGATAATAATTCAATTTCTAGTTATTCTCTAATTCACCTTACTTTCAGAATTTGAGGGGGTAGTGGCCAGTATTTCAAAGAAGAGTACACCACCGTGCAATGAAAGGCATCTTTTTTTTTTATACTCAGTTTTTTTTACTTAGTTTAATATTTTGTTTCACCCTTATAAATGCATTCACATTACAACTGTGAAAACTGAGGGAGTGTATTTAAAAATTTATTATCTTTGCTTAAATATGGGTCAAATCAAAACAGATATATGATTACTGATGCCAAGGTGTGTGTAGGTGGACAAGTCCAGCTTGCAAGCTGAGATCCACATATGTATGTTATAATGTGTCACAGTAGTTCTGCATACTTTCAGCAGAACACCTAAGTTTTTAAAACAAAACACCCAAACACAAGTAGTCAGATAACCCTTCCCCTCTCCTATGCACACATAATAAAATCGTTTCTCCCAAATCTGACAAGGTAAGAATGCTCCTTCTTCTAGTTGATAAATAGAGCAAGATTGAAGGCTTGCATACTTGTATCTGTCACTATTTCTGCCTCCCTCCAGACAGTTTTTAAATATTAGATCTATTCTCCACCTATACTTCCACTGCATAGGCTCTTACTAACATCTTACAAAATAACACCAAGTATTCTGTGCTTTTCCTTTCCCCTTCAGATTTTCTTTCCAACCCTTCCTATGACACTTTCCTTTATACCCTCACAGATGCAGAACTGTCTCATCTAAGCCCCTCCCTGTAGCAATTCTCTTGCCTCATGACTTTGACCTAACCTCTGCTCCCTCCATTGCCTGCTTTCACCCTCTTAGTTTCTGTTCAGTGTCTTGTTAGTTTCTGGCTCTTTTCTTTACAAACACTAGCCTTACTTTCCGATATTATGACAAACCCATTTGTTTCCCCAGACAATACTCTCTCTCATTTCTAAGCTTTTCCATATACCTTTGAGGTAGTGAGTAATCACATTTAACTTTAAACTTTCAGGTTAGGACTAGTTGTTTAAGAACTTTTTAAAGGAAATGGAAAGAGGTAGGCATTTCTCTGGGGTGACTCATTCCATTCTAAGATAAGTGTAAGAAATATATAGGATGAATTCTCCTCTGGAAATTACCATCTGTCGCCCTTGGCTATAGACTGAGACCAGATGATTGGTTATAACTTAGAAATCTGACTTTTAGATGGTTCAGGTTAGGCAAAACAAATCTCACTGTTAAGGTTCCAGCTCTCCTTTTCTTCAGTTACTCTCACACTGCAATTTGGGGTGGTGATGGTGTGCGTCTTCATTCCACCACAGTGGGGCCAGTCCAGAGGCTACAGCCACTTGGGACTTCTTCAATGGCGCCTTTTCAGGTAAAGTTTAAAAACACTACACCATCATTCTTCATCCACCAGCTGCTTTTGCTACCCTTACAATCACGTTTTCCTTTAGATCCCACCCACCTTAGAACATTGCAATTTTGCTTATCACGTGTATCTCCTTAGTAATTTCTTTTTAGGTACTTGTTCCTCTTCCTAGCAAATACAGAATTCTTACACCTCTCGTTTCAAATCACTGGAACAAATTCCAATTGTGTAACCCTATAATCACACTCTAGCCTCTCTCTCTTTCCTCGTATCTGATTTATAACTGGATATCTGCATGTTATACCTATTTTATTCATTGAATATTGGTCATCTGATAATGCTGCATTATGACAACAGCAAACACCTTTGCAGCTATCAACTTAAGTTGTAAATGTCAAACGCTTACTTTGAAAAACACAACATTGCATGAAGGGTACCACTCAGATTATTTCTGCAAAAATAATGTTCTTAGCTCACTGCTTTGGTAATAATGCCCTATCTTAGCTCTTCAGTGGCTGCTTTCCCTGTAAAATATAAGCATTACTACTTTCAGAGTCCTTCATGTCCTATATTCCTTACACACTCTTGTTCATTAAAATGTTGTCCCCAGTATGGCCAGTGACAATAATCTCCATCACTCATTTGGTAAGTCTTAAGAAAACATTGTTTGGTTGGTTTTTCTCCATGCTGACTACCCCATAAATACCCACAATTTTTTTTCATTGTCTTCATTTAATGATCCTCCTCATCTTCTGTGATGCTACCAGAAAGCCTGATAATGATTAAATTGCAAGTATGAGGAGACCAACATGCCCACCATGCTGCATAATGCTACCTTAAAAACTGCTTTTCTACATTTTGAGCCATTTGCTGTACCTGACTGCTTATATCTCACTTGTTCCTGTGTTTCGTTGTTACTGTTGTGTTTCTGTATCATTTTATGTTCAGATAGTGTCTCACACAGTACAGTTTAATTCCATCAGTATTCATTCCATGCATTAGAGTACTACCAATACTTAATAATAATACTAACCTTGACTGAGTTGAGGTAAATCAGGACATTACCAAACTGTCTAAGAAGAAAGAAGTAGGAGGACATGCACTGTCTTCCTGGAATGGTATCTAAAATTCAAAAGAGAAATGCAAATTTGTAGAATTTACAAGTCACATGGTAATGAAAATCACTGCCAAGGTTGCTGGCAACTGTGAAAGCAGCTAACTTCTAAAAATAGCATAGCTTGCCTTTTCAGGCAAAGGACCATAGTAGAGGTTAGAAAAACTATTAGTTCATCTTGTCAACTTTCTCTACAGCATACCATAACTATTGCAAGACTATATTCAACAGTAAATTCTACAGAGACAAATTGTTTAAGTAACAGGCCTTTTCCATGACACGATTTCCATAGCATCATTTTACTGTGAGTTATTCTTACTCTTAGGACTCTTGATACAAAACCTGAGTTTGTTATTCTAACCTAGTTAGCCTTTTTTTTTCATAGAATCAACTAGGTTGGAAATGCCCTTTAAGATCATCAAGTCCAACCTTTAAAATTACGCTTTTCAGTTATCCTAGATAAAAAAAGTTTGACATACTTTAATTTGAGTTCCACTAAGTAAACTTGATACACTGAAAATATTGTTATTAAAAAAGAAAAAAAACACACACAGGAAAAACACTCAGTGAAAAAATAGAATATGAAAATTACCTTCCATGCATTTGGGATTACCACATTGCTCACAAGTGGTAAAGTCATAAATTAGGCATATCAGTACAGTAAGTGCCAGTAAACTTTGCTGCCACTATATAATCGTAAACTTTGCTGCCATCATACTATGCTGTCATCTACCCTGAAACTGCATGCTTGTTACTCGAGAACTATTTAAAAACATTTTTAGAGATTCCAAAGTAAGCTTAATGGGACTAACTTTTCTTAGACCCAACCAGCAGAGATTGGTCAGAGATGGATCATAGAATGGTTTGGGTTAGAAAGGACCTTAAGATCACCTAGTTCCAACCTCCCTGCCATGGGCAGGGACACCTCACACTGGACCAGGTCGCCCAAGGCTCTGTCCAACCTGCCCTTGAACACTGCCAGGGATGGAGCATTTACCACTTCTTTGGGCAGCCTTTTCCAGTGCCTTGCCACCTTCACAGTAAAGAACTTCTTCCTTATACCTAGCCTGAACTTCCCCTGTTTAAGTTTAAACCCATTACCCCTTGTCCTATTGCTGCAGTCCCTGATGATGAGTTCCTCTCCAGCATCCTATGTAGGCCCCCTTCAGATACTGGAAGGCTGCTCTGAGGTCTCCACACAGCTTCTCTTCTCCAGGCTGAACAGCCCCAATTTTCTCAGCCTGTCTCCATACGAGAGGTGCTCCAGCCTCCTTATCATCCTTGTGGCGCTGCTCTGGACTTGCTCCAACAGCTCCATGTCCTTCTTATGTTGAGGACACCAGAACTGCACATAATACTCTAAGTGGAGTCTCATGAGAACAGAGCACAGGAGTAGGATCACCTCCTTTGACCTGCTGGTCACACTTCTTTTGATGCAGCCTGCGACATAGGTGGTTTCTGGGCTGCGAGTGCACACTGAAGCTGGTTCACGTTCAAGTTTTCATCAACCAACACCCCCAAGTCCTTCTCCGCAGGGCTACTTTGAATCACTTCTCTGCCCAACCTGTAGCTGTGTCTGGGATTGCCCAGACCCAGCTGTAGGACCTTGCACTTTGCTTTGTTGGATGAACTCAAGCAGCAGCTAGGAAGGCACAGATGCAAGTGATGTCAAATCATTACTACTTCATCATGTCAAATGATCATTAGAGAGCATGCTGCTCTGTGCAGTTTGGTAAGATGACAGGAGGTAAGGTCCTAAGGCTACCAACAGTCCTGAAGCAATCTGCTCCTGTAAGTTAGTTACCATCAATCCATCCACACGAGAAAATTAAAATATCTTTTTTTGTATATACAAATTTCATGCATCCGAAGGCCAATATTTTAATGCCATACCACAGCACAAAGTATATAATTCCACTGGAAAATCATACATATTCCTTTAAATAATGTAGCCTAGTAATTATTCCTGGAAAGCACTATATAAGATCTCAAAATGTATTTCAAAGCAAAGCAGAATATTCTCATTTTTTTGTCTTTTAGCACTAGGAGATACTGTGCTTGGATGTCCTGTCATTTCCATGTAGAGACAATCCATCCTTTTCTATGTCTGAACCACATCATTCAAGTTCTCCAAGAACTGAAAATTATTTGGTTATTTATGAACTGTTCTCTTGGGAGCAGACACTGGCCTGTATATTTATCTGTCCTTTTTTACATGCAGGCATATCATGACACATATCAGCCTTGACAGGGCAATAACAGAAAGAGTTTTCCTCAGTATTCCTCTGGCATTTTTTTGCTTTTTGTTGTTGTGCTCAAAAGTGCCCCCTTTCTCTCACGTTCAATTTTTGAAGTTCATAAACTCACAGCAATTTATCTTAAACAATTTTTTTTAAAACATGCAAGGAAGGCTTAAAACTGAGAATACATTTTCAGAAAAAATGAATCACACTAACAAAGTATTAGAACCACCCTTTTCCCATGTATGATTGGAAAGTTTTAAATTTCAGTATCTATTCTTATGCCCATATTTTGAGAGAAACTTCTGCTATCCCAGCATACCATTCTCCATATATTTTTTGTGAAAGATTTCATTAAAAAAACAAGTAGAACATCCGTAATCTCACACATCTCAATAATGAATACTACTACTGGCAAAAACCCTAGAACTTTATAGTTCTAATCCATCCCATGTGACTCATGCAGGAAGAGGAAGAAGTTCTCATTTTGAAAAATTACTTTGGGTGACCTAAGAACACCTCAAAGAAAAGACTGCACAAAGTCCAGGAAAAGTGTTTCATTCCTCCCACCCAAAACCAGATACGTCTCACTTGGTCCTAAAAGACGACCAGTGAAAAGGAAAGGAGTGCTTTCCTCCATTATCCTTCCAGTGTTTCTAGGATAGTTTGTAAGACTTATGTTAAGCACCCAGAAACACTGCACTTAATGGAAATGTTGATGTTAATTTGCTTTCATTAATGTTCCTCTTGCCCCATTTCATCCTTAACTTATCTCAGAATATCTCAGTCTGTTTAATTTTCCACCCCGTTGAGACTGGGAGAAAAGCATGAGAATTAACTATAAAAATCTAGTTATATCCTCCTTTGCAATGCCAGTTCTATTTCATGTCATTGGGATTAAGAATTTGTATGAAACTTAAAAAAAAAGACCCAAACCAGTAAACCAAGCTGCTGTTCTGCGTGTTATTTATTGCTGCTAGAGGGAGAGTATTGACTCCTACACTGTAAATGCTTCCTGGTTTGAGGGATTTTGGGGTTGGTGGGTTTTTTTCATTTGGGTGTCCCTACTCCTCCTAAAGTACATAAATTTCAACATGGGATGAAATGTGTACATGTACAAACGCATTACACTCTGTTCTTCCTAAACTGTCTGATGTAGCTTTTTTCTTAACGTAGTCACGGGATTTCTACAGTTAACAAGAGCAAGTCAGAAAGAAACTTCTATTGAAAAAATATTCCACATCTTCATTTTAGTCCATTAATTTTTGATAATCCATGTTAAAATCAGAAGCCCTGTAGACCCAGTTGTGAGCAAAGGATTTCCTCACCTTAGTGAACACAACCTACTTTTATAACAAAGCAGCTAAGTGACTTGATAAAGATCTTAAACAGACAATCTAGTGGTACAAGCTCCTTGCAAGGATTGGCCCAGTGGGAAGTGCTGAAGCATGACTGACATGCTTGAATAGCAGGAGCAGGGCTGGCTATTTAGGGAAAGCCCAAATATTCAAACAGCAAGAATTCTGTTCTTAATTCTAAATCCAGCAAAACGAAGGCAGCAGATCAAAAATGACCACAAATATACAACATAGTGGCTAATATGCTAAGTTGCATAAAAACATAAAAATGATCATATTGGAGCCAAAGTCTATCTGGTTCAGAAGCTTGCTGAATAAGAATATAGGTATAGAAAGAATATATTCTGATTTCACATGTAATACATGTTGCAGTATGTATTGCCACTTCCTTTGAAGTTTCTCCTAGCTTCCAACAATCTGCACTGATGACTTCCTAATCATCACTGAAACACTGTGTTAAACAGCCACTGGGCTTTTCTCCTGCTTTTCTTTTTCTTTTCTTTTTTTTTAAATACCTTCTTGTTCTTGCAAGATTCTCTGTCAAATAAGTTGTGTTATTTGAAAAAGTAGTAAGTAGTTCGTGCTCTTTGTTTTAATTGTCTTGCATGATGCCAATGCTCCTTGTTTTTTGTATGGTACAGTAACTAACTCTTTTCTATTCCTCTTCTCCCTGTCAGTTATGATGTTCTGTATTGTGAACATAACCAAACCCAGTCATTATTTTCCAGGCCACGTAGCTTGCTTTATTTAATCTCTCCTTGTTCAAGAAGCTACCCCTTTCTCTGATCATCCTTGCTGTCTTTATTGTATGCTTTCCTGTTCTATCTTTTTTTTTTTAATGTAAGAACTAGAACTGCAGACAGTATTCAAGAAAGGGAACCACATCTGTGTACAATGACACAGTAATTATTTTGTTTTGTTCTCTCTTTCCTCATCAATTGCTAAAATTCTCTTCAACTTTCCTGATAATTTTGCAAATACAGTTTAAGATGTCCTGCCCCCTCATGTACTACTTTGCATTTATCAAAGCTAAATTTAATTTGCATATTATTACCCAGCCTCAGATATTCTTCCACAGCTTTCATCATTCTGAAAGCTTTCAATTTTCCTTCATTGGGTAATTTCATACCATTGGCAAACCTAGTCATGTCATTATTTGTCTCCTATACCTCATTAATTATGAATACAAGCCCTTTCTTTAAAGAAACAAAAGGTTCCTTCAAGTGTTCAAATCAGGTGCATTTTACCCTTTTCACTGCTACTTCAATGAAAAATTTCTGTTAGAAATGAGAAAGGTTATTATGTAGCTTCCTTTCTTGAAATTAGTACTTTGGGAATTTTTTGAGGTATTTGCGAACACATGGATTTTGAGTCTGATTATACTCAGATCACTGTATCAGAATGGGATTTTCATTATAAAATTTCTAATCAGGTTCTATGTAATCTCTGTATTGGTCTAGAGTCACTTGCTCACTTGTGTGTGAGAAAGATGAAAACTTAGCATTTAAAAATTAATTCTCTATATCATGCTATGTCATTGCATTTACTAGGTCAATATGGGCAGAATAGAAGTCTTCACCAATTATTTAATTATCTTTCTATATAAAATCTCTAACCTCTTTAACATGCCAGTCACTGTTCCCATCCAGGTTGGCTGGTGAATAATTTAGCCTCAATATGATAACTCTCCTATTTGAGCATGTGATTTAAAACAATTACATGTTACTCACTGATAAAGAAAATATATTTACTTTACTCTGAGAGAAGGTTTCTATAACATTTAGAACCACTTCTCCACTGGCATCATCTATTTAGTAATACTGCACTGTAGATTAAATAGGAACAATATCCTACATGTTACATTCCTCCTATCACATTTAAAAATTATTTTAGGTTTATACCTTTCTCTTCTAAATCCAGACATTCTACTTTATTCATCTTCTTTTAAAACATCCAATAATTACATATTTGGTCTTCCTGTGTTTGCTTTTTGTTTTGTCCTATCTAAAGTGAGCTCTGTGTCTTCTATTTCCTGTATACAGTTTGTTTACCTCCACCTGTCCTTTATTTGAAGATAAAAAAGCCCCCACACTATTTCACCTTTAAAGGAGGAGTTACTTTGAACTGTGTGCTCTTCTGTACGTCAGCTTTTTCCCACAGGTTTTTAAAAAGATGACAAAGCAGTTTTTACATGGAAGTACCCAGCCTGTAAGATGCTTGCAGTGGAAACCAATGTTTCCACTTACCTTTAGTTGGAACTGATCCTTCCCCTAAGCTCATTTTTTCCCATTTAGCCCACCTTCTTAATTGAACTACATTTCTGCTCTTTTATTCTTTTTTTTCCCTTCTCTTCCCCTCAACCATGCCTCAAGTCTCAGCCTCTCTCTTTTTTTGCATATGGGTTTCAAAATATTTCACAACAAAACTAAGTCTTTAAGCTTCCTAATAATTTCAATTTTGGGTTTGGGCTACATCTTCACTACACATATTTTCAGGATATCTCTTCTCAGGCTATCTCTGCGTTATTTTTATACATGTGTGCTACAGTCACTCATAACACCTGCACGACTGTTATGGGCTTTAAGAGGTCTGCCACCACTTTATCAGTCACACCGTGACTTCACTGGCATCACAAACCCAGTTAGCTATATGCCCACTGAGTTCTTCACTACTGCAGTTCATACTGCTACTTTCTGTTAACTGCGACCCCAACTCCAAAGGGAAAGCCTCAATGCAAAAGGAATGTGTTAGACAAACCTCATCTATGGAATCACTTCCAGCCTTCCAACGTGAAGGGCTCTGCTGCATGATCTCAACAGTATAAGGGCTGCAAGAGGAACATAATGGCTCAACAGTATTTCTGAAAGTTTCATCAGTGCTGCCGCTCTGCTTCTTGGGCTCCTTCTCTTTAGTCACCATAGACACAGGAGACAGCATTCTGTCTCTGAGGACTATAAGCTCTCTGCACTGTAAACATGCATAAGTTATCCACGTAAAGAAACAGTCCTAGTGACAATGCTTATCATGGAACCGCCATTTTGGCTGAATTTCTGTGCTCCACCTACTGTCTTTTTATTTGGGATTTTGGTTTTACTTTGACAAGGGGAAGGGAAAACAAAGTCTTGTTTTGGTCTATTATTGAATAAGTAAACATCAAAAATATATTGATTTTGTTGTTAAGTTTTGTTTTGTTTGTTTGTTTGTTTTTTTAATTCAACCAAGGAGTTAGTCCCAGACCCTCCGTTTCTCTCTGTAGTCCAATTCCTCTTTACATTTTTATCATCCTCAGTTCCAGGGCACACTCTGTACTAGCACACTATGCACTAGATAGGCATTCACTAGCAGTCCTTGATTTGTACCTGTGAGGTTTCAGCCACACGCTTCCTCTAATTATGCTGTTTTCTGTTTCTGTAATGGGGATTATTAGTCAAAGGCAAATTGCCATAGCGTCTATCAGTGAAGCCTAGCAGCTTGCAGTATTGCCTCTTTTCCAGCCAAATTCATGCAGTAAGCTTTAGAATCAATTGAGCCTGCTAATTTAAGCTTGCAAATTTGTTTTCAAATATATGTTAGACTGTTACACTATAGCAACAAAATACCTAGCAAGTGTCACGCTAACAGTCAGCAGTTAGACAAAGATATGATGGTATATATTTGGATACTGTAAGAAGGATTACATAATGGAGAAAGAACATTTCAAACATACCACATTCGCTGGCTGATTCACCCACCAACTGGAAGAACTGCTGAGCAATTTTCAGATGATCTCTCTGGGAGACCAAAAAAAAAAATTCAACATGAGTTCCAGAGTTGATGCTACAATACACAGTGAAAATAACTCTGAGGAACAGATGGGGAGCAACTAACAGACGAACCAGGGCTGAAGTGAAGACAGAAAAGGTAAATGTATCACTGTGCCTAGAAGGAAAACAGGCTTTTTGGAAGCAGGACAGAAAAGCCGAATTCATCTTCATTTATTGGCAGGACTAGCAACAGAGATTTGCATTTCATTCATTTTAGACTGAGTACTATACAGAAGAAGATTAAGAGACTCAGAGATCCTGCAATTAAATGAATGTCTCTTTCACCCCATTCCAGTCCCTACAGATCTGTTCATATTCTGCTGTTGGAAAAGTTGGAGAATCTCATGGGCTTCACCTACCAAGCCCATTTCTTGTCCAACTGCTGCATTTACCACTCCTTTGAGGATGTACTCCTGAAAAGAAAAAAAAAATAATAAATAAAAAGATTAAAAGCATCAGAAAGGACAAGGTGAAGATTTCAGGAGACAAGTTAAGAGCCTATATGTACATATTTTCTGTCTAAATTCAACTCTATCCCAAATCAGTTTAATAGGTAGCTGGTTACTATGATACTGTGACGGTGCTTCAGCACAGTAGGACAAAGTTACCCCCAAAAATGCATTCTACTCACTGGTTAGTCACTTCTGCTAAGTATGTGGGATGCAAAGGTGTAACGTGGTTTCTGGTAAGTCTTATGCTCAAAGACAATGCACCAGAAGAAACACCGTAACACACCATCATGCCCTCTTCACCATCATATAACCAAGAATATTAAGTGCTATATTGTTATAGTAATACACAGATCTCACTTCAAGTATGCATATTGGTTAAGTATAAGCACTAACATCCTTGCTCCAAAATACATTTTATTTTTCATCAGAGCAAAAATGTCATGAAGTTTGTGCTCTATGGTCATGTACTCTACTGAAATTAGGAACAGGATTAGAGTATCCTGTCGGCTCTACTATGAGATACAACTACAGTTTAATTCTTCTCTAAACAAGATTTTCTGAGCATGTAACAGACTCATTTGTCTTATTAAAATATTTTAATTAAGAGTTATATCTATAAACCTGCTTTAGTAGGTACTCTTGATAAACCTGGCCAGCACTGTTACAGATGTAAAGATGGAAAAAGAGAAAAAGACACTTACATAGACCAACAATGGAGTGCAAATAAATAATCTGAGAGTACTAGGCAGCATGCTAAGTAATCATTTTAGCACTCTTACCAACTGTCTTACAGATGTGAAATTATTATCCTACAGGTGTCACGACAAACAAGAAATTTAAGAACTGAAGAAGTATATACAAGTAGTTTTGCAAGTCTTAGTGAGGAGTTCCTTCCGAGTGTGAGAAAATGGGGAGAAAAAAAGCACAAAGATTCTAGTTTCAAAATGTGACCAAGAATGATGCTTGTGTTACGTGTATTAGGCATGTATATCGGAAACAGAGGCTAAAGGACCAATAGATGCCAAAAACTGTTCAAATAAGTCTTGCTACACTAAAAAATGCAAGAAGTAGAAAGCAACAGCAGAAGACACTCCGCAGCACAGAATCACCAGATCTGTGTTCTTGAGGTTTTCCTTTCCCCTCCCCTCAATCTAATCCTCACACAGACTCATGAAAGGTCCCTTTCATGCCCAGCTATGTGACCTTTGGAAAATAAACTGCCAAGAGGAATAAATCAGAGACTAAAGACGTTGGAACAGCCACAGAAGAAAATTACAGTAGCAGCCAAAGGACACTCCAGTTTGCACTCGTTGCAGCCAAAGTGAGATGGGATTAGAAAAGACCTGTTATTAAAACCATTTAATCTAATCTAGCTAATTTTTACAGAAATGGCTTGAGGACAATCCACATAAGCATCTAAGCTAGCAGGTCAGAGGGATGGTAACCATCAGCAGGGCATAAGTGACAAGTAGCTATAGTTGGAAGAGGGTTTTCATCTATGCACTAATGGTCAACTCCCCAGAATCAAGTCTGCACACAACAGAGCTGTATTCTTAGTTAACCCCAAGTGGTACAACTAATAAACATCCTAAGTATTCATATATGCACATATATAATTTATGCATGCACATTAAGTCTATTGTTGGTAAAGATGGAAAACACAAGAGTTTTAGGAGTGGGAATGGGACAAGCTGTCCTCACAATATCAGTTTTGTATGTGGCAGATTTCATACCAGTTTATAACCTCGGTCTTTATGTACCATGACACCAGTTTCCAACTACCTGTGGAGCTGTAGGTTCCAAGTCCTTAATCAGGTTATAAGCCTCCTGCACATCATCTGAAATACCAAACATTAGAATGCATGACAACCCATAGCACACTGTATTAAAACAAGTCACTCATTCTCTACACCATACCCCAATAGTCACAAACTAAGAAATAAAGCATTCAGACAGGAGGAGAAAGGTAACTATAAATCACTGTGGATTTATATCACAATGGTGATGGTTTTCTAGAACTCAACAAACATGGAGTGAGTAATAGCTTCTTTATTACTACAATTTTCCTAGTAGACATGACTTGCCCCCCTTGTTCATTATGCAGTGGCTGCCTTCTCAACAGTACAAGGTCAAGATAATAAATCCTTCATCTTCTTGTCTTTTCTCATACTTATTTACCCCTTGAGGAGGATAGGGTAATATGAATCTGGACGTAAACTTCATCTTCACTCCTTGTCAATATTTCAAAATTTATCTAGCAGCTCTTACCTGACCTCAATTCTAATAAGCAAAAAGCAGTACTAGTGTAGAAGTTTAAATGTAAAGTTTAAATTCAATAAACAACTTCCTTCCACCCAAGAAACAAGTAAACTGAAAAGATCCTGAACACCTAAATCAAAAAAGATGTCGGCACTATGGTCAGCTTCATAAACCAACCTAGTGAAGATGCCCTTTTTATTGTCAAAATTTTGTTAATACAGCATTGTACCAGCTTCATCAAGCAAAACTATTTTTTGCTAGTACATACCATCCATACACTGTGGGGACAGTACTCCAGGGTGACTTAAGGCAATATTTGTGCCATATTTACAGAAATAGTGTAAGTAGTGTAACTCTCACTATAAATATATAAACACCATCATCCCTATAGCCATCTTTTGCAACCCAAGAGCCCCCAATACTCTGCTGAATTAGATTTAATCCACTTCTTTCACAAGAAGTGAAAGACCTTCCCTACAAGCCATGGGAGCTCTTAGATCATTATTTTCCAGAGGAACAGAAAATGAAACAAATTGCGTTTTACCACAAAGGAAAAAAAAAAGCATTTCATTGAATAGTCAGTTGAGATCATCCCTGAAGCTATGGAAGAGCCAGAGGAAGGTGTTATTTACCTTGCCGGAGATAGTAAATCACAAGATTCAGTCTTGCCTCAGGAATAACATCAACCAGAGGAGGCAGGACCTGCAATGCCCCTTCTCCTCCTCGGAACACCACCTGCAGAGAAAAGCAGCATATTTATAACTGTTAACAAAACCTTGTCTATGATCTCTTAATTCAAGGAAATTAATCCTTAAATTCCTATATTAACAATAGAAAAGAGCAGTGGTACTCAAATTAGCATAATCCCTGCTTTAATATAACTGCAGAATTATGCTGTGTGACAATCTTTATTCTGAAGAATATGAAGTATTTAATCCAACAGTAAAGAATAACTTATTCTAGCTTTTAGCAACTCAAAGCAGTGACACATTATATATCAAAGATTTTAAAGAATAGTATTGTCATCTAACATACTTTTTCAGTAAACCACTGGCAAAAAGACCGAAATTCAAAATAAATAATGTTAACTTACAAAAACTCAGTTGGAAAGCAGTTTAAACTCTTGGGGAAAAACGTGTTAGCTTGTTGTGACTACTCTTGAAAAAAGACAATGCAAGCAACTCCTCATCCTTAAATAAAAGCAATCTACTGTTACAAAGAAATAATACCACTGCAGGGAAAATTAACAGGTGATTAGTGACTTTTTAACTGCAGAACACACAAGTATTTTGGCTTTTATCAGCAGCTTTTTCCCGACAACTCCTTCTTAAGTACTTTTAGGATGAAGACCATTTTCTCTGAGTTATCTTAATTCCACTCATCTTAATTCAACTCACGTTGTTTTCGTACTAAGAGTTCAGGGTCATGCATTCTGACTTGTTTATACAGTGTCCTTATTGACTGGGCTCCACAAAATATCTTGCAAAGGTATTATTACAGAACATAAATTACTTTAATATGCCTTCGGGGTTAAAAACAACAGCATTATTATTTTCTTGACACAGATTCAAACTGACAGGAAAAATGCTATGGATAAAAAATACACTTGATGGTGCACTGATTATACAGGTAGGATGTCTGGAGTAGGATTTACATGGCAGCAGAGATTCAATTGGGTCTGCAAGTCCCAAAATATTCCATTTTATGAATCATGAAGAAAAGCTCTACAAAGGAGTGCAGTTCATAATGAATCCAAAAAATACATTACTCACCAGATTGTGCTTAATGAGCTCCTTGCCAAACTCAAATGATGATGAAGCACTCTCTGTCAAGTTCTTGAGCTCTGCCTGGAATTTTATATATTCCAAAATTTTAACAAGAAAACAGAAAAGCACACAAGCATGAATGGAGCTTCATATGAGCCTGACAGAAAGACATCCCCAGCAGTGCTGGATCACTGGAAGGTTTTTGCCTTCCCAGTTCTATGTGATGTTTTAGCAATTGGGTAATACATATAGACACAAGGTCATAAGTAGGAAAAGTCTAAGACTACTGCGCACACATGTGGACAGATGGCTTAACACCAGGAAAACTGGCAGAGGTGACATTCCTAAGAGAAGGACACAATGACAAAATAAAGACCCCTATCAACATTACTGATTAAGACAGATAAGGGAAAATAAAAAATAATCCGTACAGAATCTTGAACTAAGCTAAAAGTGAACTGAAGGGCTGTCCAATAGATACCTCAGCCGCCTTCCCATTGTAAAGGCGGAAATGGTTACAAGCCTTAAGGTTAAGAGCAATGGTGCTGTCAGGAACTTGCTGAAGATAAACAGCTAGCACTTCCTGTGATACATCGTAGTAATCCAGTTTGTAATAGCATAGGGCCACATATACATTCAGGGCCAGGTATTCCCTGTGTGAAAGAGGATTAAAGAGAACATTTAAATTCCACAAGAAAGCTATACTACAGAACATTAAAATCAGTCATAAAGCTCTCACATGTCTATACATCTTTTACAAGCATGTCAAATCACAGAATCATCGAGTCAGGTAGGTTGGAAAAGACCTTTAAGATCATCAAGTCCAACCATTACCCCAGGACTGCCTAGACCACCACTAAACCATATCACTTAGGGCCTCATCTACACGGTTTGTGAACACTTCCAGGGACAGTGACTCTACCACTTTGCTGGGCAGCCTGTTCCAATGCCTGACCACCCTTTTGGTGAAGAAATTTTTCCTAATATCTAGTCTAAACCTACCCTCAGCTTTAGGCTGTTTCATCTTGTCCTCTGGCTTGTTACTTGGGTGGAGAGACCAATCCCCCACCTCACTACAACCTCCTTTCAGGCAGTTGTAGATAGCGGTAAGGTCTCCCCGAGCCTTCTCTTCTGCAGACTAAATAACCCCAGTTCCCTCAGCCATTCCTCGTAAGACTTATTCTCCAGACCCTTCACCAGCTTTGTTGCCCTTCTCTGGACCCACTCCAGCACCTCAATGTCTTTCTTTCAGTGAGGGGCCGGGAACAGAACATAGGATTTGAGGTGCAACCTCACCAATGCCAAGTACAGGGGGACAATCACTGTACTGGTCCTGCTGGCCAATCTATTGCTGAATCAGGTCAGGATGCTGTTGGCCTTGGCTGCCTGGGCACAAGCCGGCTCATGTTCAGCAGCAGTCAAACAGCACCCCCAGGTCCTTTTCCATGAGCAGCTTTCCAGCCACTCTTCCCCAGGAGGGTTGTTGTGGCCCAAATGCAGGACCCGGCACTTTGCCTTGTTGGACCCCATACCATTGGCCACAGCCCAATTGATCCAGCCTGTCCATATCCCTCTGCAGAGCCTTCTGCAGATCTGCCTTCTGCAGATCAACAGTCCCACCGAACTTAGTGTTGCCTGCAAATTTACTAAGGGTGCCCTTGTTCCCCTCATCCAGACCATCAATGAAGATATTAAACAACACTGTCCCTAACATCGAGCCCGAGGGACACCACTAGTGACTGGTAACCAACTAGATGTGATGCCATTTACCACCACTCTTTGGGCTTGGCCATCCAGCTAGTTTCCAACCCAGCGAAGAACCCACCTGTCCAGGCCATGCTTTATCATCTTCTATGGCAGTGGCCAGATTTAGTTCCACCTGTGCTTCTGCCTTTCTAATTTTTCTCTACATAATCTAACAATATCCTTATACTCTTCATGGGGTAACTGTCCCTTATTCCACAGGTGATAAATTCTCTTTTTTTTTTTTTCCTGAGTTCTAGCAATATCTCCCTGTTCAGCCTTCCTCACCAGTTTGATTTTCAGCACATAAGGACCACCTGCTCCTGCACCTTAAGGATTTCATTCTTGAAGAGCATCTAGCCTTCCTGGACTCCTTTGTCCTTCAGTAATGTTTCCCAAGGAATTCTGCCAACCAGCATCCTAAACAGGCCGAAGCCAGCTCTCTGGAAGCTGAAGGTGAAGGTTTTGCTGACCTTCTTCCTGACTTCCCCAAGGATTGAAAATTCAATCATTTTGCGATCACTTTGCCCAAGATGGCCTCTAACCATCACATCACCCATCAGGCCTTCTGTGTTTGTGAACAGCAAATCCAGTCAGGCATCTCCCCTAGTTGGCTCAGTAACCAACTGGGTTAGGAAGTTATCTTCCACACCCCCCAAGAACCTTCTGGATTATTTCTTCTCTTCTGTGTTGTACTTCCAGCAGACATCTGGTAGGTTGAAGTCCCCATGAGAACAAGGGCAAGCGATCGTGAAACTTCTTGCAGTTGTTTGAAGAACACTTCATCTGTAGCTCCATCCTGGCTGGGTGGTCTATTAAAGACTTCTACCAGGATATCAGCTTGGTTGGCCTTCTCCATGATCTTCACCCAAACATATTCAGCCTTCTCATTCACAACATCGAGTTCAAGGTAGTCAGTGCACTCCCCGACATACAATGCAACCCTACCACCTCTTTTTCTTTGCCTACCCCTTCTGAAGAGCCTAAACTGGGGTTTCTGAGAAATGTTTAGTTATTAGAGCTCTAGCTGTCAGTTAAGATTGCACAGATCCAGATTTGCATTAGTTTTTTCAATGGCAGCTACTGCAGCTTTAAAGAATTACCTATAAAGTTTTTGATTTGCAAATTGGGGAAACGGTGGCAACTTCACACTAAGAAAACGCACAGAAGCCGAGCACTGTATTTGGCCTGACAGAACAGGATCTTCTATGCAAATACATTTAATATGCACAAAATAGTTTGAAAATATTTTAATGGATCTTATTATCTTATATCAAATACAATTATTTCAAAAAATCCTTGCAATTACAAGCTATCAAGCCAGAAGAACTAGACACAGAAGGTAGACAGGCATCTGTGGAAACAATAACAGTGTAACTGTTATGAAGGTTACCTGTTTAGCTTTGAGTGCTTGCTTCTATGGGACTTGGAAGTTAAAAATCTCTTCCCTGAGCATTATGTGACATATATGCATACATTATCATGGACTTCTTTAAAGCATTCAAAAGGACAAAAGATAGCTATGTATCCTGGGACAGCAGTTTCTGTTTTACTAAACAATTATTTCAGCCACTTAAGAGTTCAATTTGCTACTCGTTAAATTCCAAATTAAAAACTTGCAGAATATGATAGGAAAAACATCAGCAAGTGTCATAGCAGGAAAAGGGATAATGCATTTAAACTTAAACAGGGGAAGGTCAGGTTAGATCTAAGAAGAAGGGTGAGATACTAGAACAGGTTGCCCAAAAAAGTGGTAAATGCTCCATCCCTGGCAGTGTTCAAGGCCAGGTTGGGGAACATGGCCTAGTGTGAGGTGTCCCTGCCCATGGCAGAGGGGGTTGGAACTAGATGATTTTAAGGTCCTTTCCAACCCAAACCATTCTATGATTCTATGATATATAGAAATTGAAAGAATTTCAGACTTAAAAAAATACAATGAACTCTCTACATAAAAACTAAGAACTGAACCCTTCTTAGAAAAGCTAAGAGGCGAAGGAGAAGTCAGTAACCACAAACAAGGGTCACGAGACTGGCTATCAGAGGGGGGAAAGAAAAAGACAAAGCAGGTACATAACCATATATCATTTCAGAAGAAGTAAGTAACAAAATGAAATAATATAAAATAAATCTCAGAATTAATTACAAAAAGTATCTCTTAAAGAAAGCAACAGAGAGCAGACTTTTTCAAAACCTATATTTTTCAATAATGCTTTACAATGAACAATACTGAGGGTGATGCAACTTGTGCGCATTTTGTGGTGGGAAAGGGACAAAGTAATTGGAAAAATTTCCTACTTTCAGAAACCAAGCAGTAAATAGAATTCAAATACCAACAGCATCAGAGAAATAGCAATAAGGTTCAGAGTAGAGGTGCCTACCGATTATCAAGAAGAATGCGTTTGTAGATATCAATAGCTTCTTGGTAGTGGGACCGCATGTAGTGGATAGATGCCAAGCTAAGCTGATCTTCTGTAATGTCTTGCAGATTCTGGTGAGAGCTCATCAGTTTCTTCTCATCACTGAACTAAAAAGAGTGTGACATATTCTCAGAAGAGTTCAGTGAGAAAAACATTTTAATTAGCTGGATTAGTTTCATTCTTGCTGGCAAACAGCAGGTGATTAATACTAAACATCTGGAAAACCTCTGTTATTTTAAAGTTAATTTGACCAGTGGAGAAAGCAAACATTAGAGAAGGCAGACCAGTTAAAACTAGATAGATGTGAGGCTAAAAACTAAGTAGACATTTTCCTTTAAAGCATGATTTATACATAACTACATATCACATGC